GTTTGAATGGCCAACCTTGCTTGTCCTATAGTGCACATCTCAGGTCCCCCAAATAAAATTGAGTTGGAGTCTCGACAGAGGCAGACACTCACACAATTTCTGTGGTAGACATCTCTGGCTCCACCAGGCTGAGCAGTCGCGTGGTCCCAGGGCTGTGGGCTCTGCATTATCAGGAAACCTGTCTACAACTGTTCGGTTGCCGAGGAAGCCAGAGCCGCACTCACTGCCCAGCAGCTCCCTGTGATTTGTGCACTGAGATTCAGGGTGCTCAGAATCCACCTTCTGGAAATAGGCTTTCTCAGTTTGGCAGGTGTTAAAAAGAAAAAGAAACACTCAACATCACACTGGGTGACAAGACGGGCTTTTTCTAAAGGTGACAGTTGTTAATTCAAGACTGCATGTCCTTCAGGTCTGAAAGGGCCTCGAGCCTCAGGGCATCATGCCTGGACAGTCATCCCTGGAGTGGGGAGCCTAGAAGAGGTAGGGACAGCCCCCCACCCTCACTTCACTGTGATTTGGGAAAACAAGAAGGGCTGGAGGGGATGACCCTTACCTCCCAGTAGGAGCTCTGCTGAGCAGCCTGCCTTCTGGTCTCTCTGAACCCAATGCTTCCAACACATAACAGGACAGGGAGACTCACACATTGCATTATGCAATAAAACAAAAACACAGCAGCAGGCCATGAGGCAATTCTGACTCGAGGTGCCCGTGTGTGTCAGAGTAGAACTGTGCTCCACAGGGTTTTCAATGGCCCAGTTTTCATAGATCCATCAATCACCAGGCCTTTCTTCTGAGGTCTACAAACCTCTAGTGTTTGGGTGAGCAGCTGAGCTCACTGACTTTTTGCCTTCCCCAGATACCAACGCTTCACTTAAAGGCACAGTCTGACTTTGTCTGATGGTGCTTTGCAGATACTGTAATTTTTTACAAATTTAAGTCTGTGGCAACTCAGGGATGAGCAAGTCTATTGGCATAATTTTTCCAACAGTATGTGCTTACTTTGTGTCTCTCTGTGTCACATTTTGATAGTTCTCACAGCATTTTTCATACTGTTCCAGTTAATAGATGACAGTGTTAATTTAATACCACTTTGCAATGCAAGTGGGAGACCAAAAAATGAGTGAGACTCCCTCCCCTAGGCTATGTTCGTTTTAGTGAGGTGATCTGGAATTGACCAGCTCAATTTGTTTGAGATCCTCCAAAGTTTGGTCACTACTGGTCTGCACAGTGCCTCCTGGTGGCCAATACAAAAAAGAGAACCTTTTCTCTGTTAACTTTTGGTTCTTTAAAATGACTCAAAGCTAACCCTTAAATTCTGAGAATCAAGCCACTGACAAAACAGGAAATGCATTTGCATCAAATTGTTACAACAAGCAGCTTGTAATAAAATAACCAAAAGGAAATACACCTTCAGGGCTTCCTTGATAAAATGCCTTTTTGTATTAGCCAGGGGCTGCTGTGGTATCAAATCACGGTGCCCTGTTAGTTCCCTTTTCCCAATTGGCCCTGGAGAGACCAAGTCACCTTGTTGAGAACAGGCAGAGTTCAGTACAAACACTTGCATTCCCAAATAGACGCAAAAAGCAGACCCACAGAATTCTCTCATATCAAAATAGAGCAATTTATTCAAGACACTGAATATGATCTGTTGATTCTCTCTGGAAACAAATGAGCTACGACACACAAGGTGATTCTTTTCTCAAAGAGTGTGAGGGTGAGTGGGCAGGAGGGCCGAGGCAAGTGGGATCGGCGTGACTGAAGAGTCTGAAAAATGCTGAGAACCAGGCCTGGCTGCACGCCTGACACAGACAATAAAAACTGCAGAAGCCAGAATTCAAAACTTCAGTGAGTGGCGGAGAGAACAGTTCTGCATTCGACAAGAAACACATTAAAAAAAAAAAGGCAAAATGAAAGGTTAAAATAGAGAAATTAACAGGGAACAAAGCAGACCCTGCCACTTGACAAAAATGTACTTCACTTGAGTGGTGACCTGGTCATAACAAAAGCCCCGTTTGACGGCATCACGAGGACTCCAGTGTGGGTCCCATGGAATCGCCCCACCGTGTGGGTCCCCTTGGGGCAGCGTCCTCTCCTGGGTGTGTGCTAGGCATGGCGCTGGTCACTTCAAACCCAACTGGAGACTTGCTTGAGAACTGTCCTCATCCTGTTGGATATGCTTTCGGAATCAGCGTGATTTGGTCACTAATACGGAAGCATGACAGGTTTTCAGGACTGTAAACAAGGTCAGACAAGGACATCACAGAGAGGCCACAAAGACGAATCTACTGGCTTCTGGTGGCAGGGCAGACGTGGGTGCTTGGTAAACAGCAGTATACCGAGTCAGCTTTTCTGCCCTGTGGCGATCGATTTGTTGAGTGTGCACTGGCCACATTCTCATGCATGGTCCCCCTTGTGGACTGTAGCAGACAAGCTCATCTCAGGTGGCAGCTGGGAAGCCAGCACTGCGGACGTGGTCCTCCTTCCCCTGTAGAGGGTGCACTGCTGGGCACAAAGACAGCCCCTGGCCCTGGCTTCAGACGCCTCAGATCTACTGTTTAAGGATTCTGTGGATGTTGTTGAATTTCTGGGTGAGACCCTACATTGCTATGTGAAGACTGTCTCATGGCTCCCTTAGCACATCTGCACAATCCACCTCCGTAGCCGAGTCTGTGGAGACCAACCAGGACTTTTTTTCTACCGATGAAGAGGAGGCTTGTCTGACCTTCTATAAGACTACATCCTACACTGAATCCAGCATCCCCACTGTCCTCGCCCAGAGGTGCCTGCTGTCCTCCAAGATGAGTGTGCTGATTTTCCTTGTGAGGTTGTCCTTGGCTAAGTGGTTAGCTAACAGAGCCTGAACAAAACAATTTGGAAACACAGCACTTGTTGGCTTTCCACAGAGGGGGCTTGAATAATTCAAACACCCAGCAAAGGCCAATTAATTCACTGAGGACAATCCACCCACTTTGGTTCCTGTAGCTGTTCTGGCACATTTCAGGCTCTACTGGAAACTTCTCCTTCCCTCATGGTTAGTTTCCTGGTGCATGGAGGCCACTGGCCCTCTGGTTTTCACCGCATTTCACTGTGGGAACACATGCTGTTGACACCTTCCCACCCACCACCAGTCCCCAGTGGCTGCTCACCCACCCAGCCCTTCTTATTCCTGCAGGCAAGACGAGGCTCGACCTCCCAGAACTTTCTTTCTTCATCGCTAATTCGAAAGCTAGGTCAGCGCCGCGTTGTCAGGTCACCCGATCCAATGAAAGGAAACTCCTCTCTCGAAACACAAAGTTGCATTTAATTCTCTAAAATCAGTAAAACATCCATTATTTCAGAAACATCTTTCTCTTCTTCTCGTGCCACAGAAAGAAATGACAAAGTAGACAGGAATGATCAGTGACCCCCCTTTCAGGATGAAAGTCTGCCTTCCACGTTTATTTCTGGGTTCAGACCTCAGGGCAGATGAAGTCAATCATGGTGGTGGGTAAACGGCCGAGGACAGCGATGCTGACAGAAAACGAAGTCGTCAATGAGGGACACTTGAATGACGCTGTGGCTGTTGATGGCTTCTTAGTACCGCCACATTTTGGAAATGTTCCTCGGGTTCCAGCACACATAGCTCTTTCATGTCCTTCCTGCTGGGCCACTAAGGCAAACGCACACCGGCACAGGCAGAGAGAATGTTTCCTTTTAGAACCCAAAGTTCTGGAATTTTCCTTGTCGGCTGCAGAACTGTCCAGCTGCTAAGTCTGTAGGACGGAACCCTTTCCAACGAGAGTTCTCCTCACCGCCTCTTGAGAAACTGAGACAAAAGGGGGGGAACAGCCACCTCAGACCCAGCCTGTGTCTCCGTAAAATCTTTTTTAAAATACAAACCACACAAAGCTCTCTATGTCTGAGGGCCACTTTAGGATTTTAAAATTGCTTAAACATAAAAATATTTTTTTTTTCTTTCCCCAAAAATATTCCGGGTTCTTTTTCTTATAAGTCATTATTATTATTATTATTATTCTGTCTCCTGTAAAAAGTCCCCCTGCCCTGCATTCTGACATAAAGCACTTGTTACAACGTGAAAAGTGCCCTCCAGATACGAAGCTCTGTAGCAATTACTGAAGGCCGGAGAGAGGAGGGTGGAGGGAGGGAGTGAAGAAGAGAGGGCGAGAGATTCTGTCATCTGTCCACCTGGCTGTAGCTATGGAGGGTGTCCCAGGACACACGAGTAAACCAGACAAAGGAAACAGGTCACAGAAGGGATCAGGGACAGCAGTTTTGAGGTGATGAACCCCAAACAGTTTTTCCATCCCAGACTGAAGGGGCCCCCCAGACAACAGGATTCCAGGCGATAGAAAAACCACCTAACCAAAAAGGGGATGCTAGAATATAGAAAGAGGTGGGATTACAAAGTTGCACATGTCATCCGTACAAACTGGTTTGGAACGTCTTTTGTGGGACAATTGTAGTGTCCAAATTGCAAGGGAAAACCAACCAACCAACCAACCAAACGACCGACCAACCGACCGACCGACCGACCGACCGACCGACCGACCGACCGACCGACCGACCAACCAACCAAACACACCCCAAGGAGGAAGCATTTTCTTCTCTATTATCACAGAATTCTTTTTTTTTTTTTTTTGGCACAGTTTGTTGTTTTCCCCTTCCTTTCTGCTTTCCAGAGCCCATTCCTGATGGAAGCCAAGTCGTGTGTTGACGAGCCACTGTTGCTTTGAGCTGCCCAGGCTGAGCCATCATCCCAGCTGCAGACATCATTCTTTCTCCTGTGATAAGACTGTGGGCTGTTTTTGTTTTGTGGTTGTTTTTGAAACTTCTTGATGATGGTTACAAAAAAATATAGACTCCTGTGACCAGGGACAAGTTGATTTCAAAGTACACGCTAACGCAAGTCAGGTTCGTACAGTTTTGGAGCTGACGGGATTGTGTTTGAAGAGTGTGGCCACCCCACACTGCTGGTCCATTAGAACTCTTTCGGTCTGTGTTCACTTCCGCAAATCTAAAACGCACACCTGTAAGGAAAGACAGAACTTGTGATCTTGAGACTCAACATGGAGATACACTCATAGCTGAAGTCATTGGCAAGCAAGGCCCATCACGTGGCTTTACCAATACAACTGTTGTTAGAACACAGCCTCTTCCATGCTTAAGTGTCACCTGTGACGGGATGCCGCACACCAGCAGAGCTCAGCTGCTGTGGTTCACAGCGTGCATCCCTACAACTGCTGCCTCTTTATAGGAAAAGCCTGCTGACTCCCGAGTTCACATGGATACCATTCCACTCCTACATCATTAAGGGAGGTTTCATTTCTTTCCTTTTACTAAAATATAAATGAAAAAGATTTCAGTAACAAAAAAGTGAAAAAAAAAAAGTAAAAGCCTCTCAAATTTCTAAACACTCTTCATCGCTCTCAACCATAGGAGTGAGTCTTGAGTGAGTTTTCAATTTCGTGTTATAAGTCTTATTTTCAAATCACTATATCATCTCGTCTGGTGGCTAAAATCACATACCACAAAAAAGATGAGTCAGATCAAATTTAGACACAACCTTCTAGTTCTCGAAGAATCAGTTAATTCAGGCCACAAACACGGGTTGAGAAGCTTCTCCATGCTGTAGGCAGCTCTAGGGCTGTGGGGGTCAGAAGTGTATAACCCAGGTCTCTGTCCCATGGAAAAAACATTCCAGAACAGTGGGCTGTTACAGCTTGGAGAGGGTAGTCCTCCTAGCATCTAGTGGGTGGAAATCAGGGCTGCAGCTTCACACCCTAGTGTTTACACAAAACAGCTCCCACCACAGAGAATGACCCAGCCCAAATGTCACCAGTGCCAAATGTGAGGAACACACAGGTAACTATGGACATGAAATCCACAGTGTGAAGTTAGTGGTGTGGGTGAGCAATGGAGCGAGACAAACAGGTGGTGCGGAGGGCGCACTGCCTTCAGGGAGAAGGCTTTCTCAGGAGACGGCACTGCATCCACCCCTATCTGTCAAGTGTGCCATACTGTGCTGACCTGAGTGTGCCATGGATATTTCAAATACCAGCAGGTTCACCCATGTGGACAGGTTTCAGTAGAGCTTCCGGACTAAGACAGACTAGGCAACATAGGAAAAGGAGTCAATGAAAACCCGATGTATGGATCACTATAGAGTACTGTCTATAAAATCCCATAGACTCCTGGAAGGTGAGCTCTTGAGCTCAGAAGGCAAGTCGACACACACAGTGTTTCCAACAGTGGACTGGAGAATGCCAACCATCATGTAAAGGACACAGGACCAGACAATGCTTCATACTGTTGTGCACGGGGTCACCATGAGTCAGAGCTGACTTGATGGAAACGACCATGTATGGAGCCCTAATATTTGTCTTAAGAAGGCACATGCTCAGTGTCATCTGGAAGAAGGGCCAGTTGAAGGAAGCCACCTATATAACAAAGGCCTAGGATGGAGCATGCATCGGCTGTTAGAGGAACTGCGGTGTTAGAGGTTCAGGTTGCCTGAGGACAGATACCTGCATCTTACAGAGAATCCTTGCTGGGGATCACGGACTCTGCTCATATGCTACTTGGTGCAAGTTGAGTCCACCCCTCGGGTGGTTTCCCAAGTGTGTGGTCATGGGTGGAGCCCGAGTGGACACACGGACAACAACAACACTGGCTGTCTCTGAACTGCAAGGGCTGAAGAGTGAACACCACTGAACAGCAGGGACCAGCTGCCTGACTGGCACCTCCAAGGCTTTAGTAACAAATAGTGGGGCCGGAGGGAGTGAAGAGGATGGCCCCTGGCAAGGGCAGGCTCTGTCCCCAGGCGGCTCCAGGATACCCCTGGCACCCAAGAATCATCAGAGACGTTTTAACAACAGGCTAGCCTCAGAGTTCCTGAATCTAGACTGAAGCACAGTGCACACAGGAGGGAGCGTGCAAGTTCAAAAGCAATGCCAAGACCCAAGAGGCCACCCACTGCCATTGGCAGCGGTCATAGACCCTCATATCCACACACTGCTAAATGGATGGCATAGCTTCTGACATCACAGTAACATGCAGACCACCAAAGTACAACAGTGACAGACAAGCACACATGTCCCCATCTGAGTTTTGAGGACATTGTGGGGACCAGCTAGGGAGCACACCCAGAGATAGGATACAAGCAGGTGTGTCACCTTGGTGCTAGTGACCTTTGGGGCAGGATTACTCTCTGTGGTGGGACTGTCCTGTACATTGTAGGGTGTGGGGCAGCACTCCTGGTCTCCACCCACTGGTCATTCTCTGTGGTGGGGACTGTCCTGTGTACTGTAGGGTGTGGGGCAGCACTCCTGGTCTCCACCCACTGGTCACTCTCTGTGGTGGGGGCCATCCTGTGCACTGTAGGGTGTGGAGCAGCATCCCTGGTCTCCACCCACTGGTCATTCTCTGTG